TCCTCCACTGCTTTCCCAGGCATAGCAGAGACCTGGATCAGAAGAGGAGCAGCCGGGACCAGAACTGGTGCCCATATGGGATGCCAGCGCTTCAGGCCAGGGCATTAACCCACTGCACCACAGCACTGGCCCCATAAATAATTTTTTTTCTGACAGGCAGAGTGGACAGTGAGAGACAGAGAGAAAGGTCTTCCTTTGCCATTGGTTCACCCTCCAATGGCCACCACGGCCAGCGCGCTGCAGCCGGCGCACCGCACTGATCTGATGGCAGGAGCCAGGTGCTTCTCCTGGTCTCCCATGGGGTGCAGGGCCCAAGCACTTGGGCCATCCTCCACTGCCTTCCCGGGCCACAGCAGAGAGCTGGCCTGGAAGAGGGGCAACCGGGACAGAATCCGGAGCCCCGACCGGGACTAGAACCCGGGGTGCCGGCGCCGCAAGGCAGAGGATTAGCCTAGTGAGCCGCGGCGCCGGCCCCCATAAATAATTTTTAAAAAGGATTTCTAGTATTCCCTCCACCTCAGTGTCACCAAATTCAGCAAATATTGGAAGCAGACTTATACTAAAAATTACTTGTTTAATTCAACATCTGTCATTGAATTCAGCAAGCCGTTCTGCAGTAATGAACCCACGCCCATCCCTATCCTCCTCAACCCAAGGATCAGCTCCTTCGATTGGCAATGTTTATCAAACCTGCAGTTGACTGGCAATGTTTGTCAAACCTGCAGTCCTAACAGCCTGTGCTGACACAATAGGGGACCTTCATTTTTGACAAGCTTGGTAGACAACTCTGACCACCTCCTGAGACCCCAGCAGGGCACCCCTGAGGCCACAACCCCAAGTGGAATCCCTAAAGCCAGCCTTTTTGTGAGGTCTACAGACCAGAGATTGCAGGTCACCCCAACTCATGTCAGTGTCCAGTCCTCCAGGAACACACCCCGTGCATGTGGGCCCGAAACTCCAGGCTCATCCGCGCTGGCCACACTTTCCTACGACCCAGCCAAGCGCTTGCTAAACACACCCAAGAACTGCAGTCCTCCAGGACCAAGGCAACGCGGAGCCCAACCAGCAGTTTTTCCAGGCACTGCCAGCCCGGCCGAAGCAGCCAGGGCAGGGCAGGCAGAAGCAGAGGGCTCCCCGGCACCAATCATCCAACTAATCACACACAAAATGGACCCGACAGTTCACCTGGGGGTTTTAAGGCAAAGACCAAGGCATGTTCCGCAGTAAAAACATGGCCTGAGCAGAGGAGGCCCTACTCCCTCAGGAAGAGGAAAAGGAAAAGCAGTCACGCTCAGATTGGATGCAGGATTCCCACCTCTCATCGCTCCTGGTCAACAGGGTTTGCCCCAGCTAGGGGCCTCCCTCCTGCTGAGTGACAGCTGTAGTCCTTGTGAACCCCTTAGCTCCCCGACTCTTGGGTTCGGATTCCACTCTCCCGGAGAGTGTCCTATGGACTTTCCCACCCACCCCCCTTTCGTTTTCTTTGATTCTACCTGCACCCAATCCCTTGCTGAGTCTGCCCCCACCCCATCTCTCACGTTTTGATCCTACCTGACCTGCTCCAGGGGACAAGACTCACCACAGAAATGCAAAAGAAATTTTAAAGAATAACGGTTGCAAAAAGAGTAGAATAGTGGTCACCTGTGTTAGAAGCGCGGCACACAGCACGCACAGTTGGGAAGAATCCATTCTCCTGTTGTGCAGCAGAATGGGGCAACACCGGCTACAACAATCCATGATATTTTAAACAACTAGAAAAGGAGACTCTGGAGTTTCCCAACACATAGAAATCATAAATGTTTGAAAAGGGGGCCAGCACTGTGGTGTAGCTGGCTAAGCCTCCGCCTGCATCGCCAGCATCCCATATGGGCGTCAGTTCTAGTCCAGGCTGCTCCACATCCAATCCAGCTCCCTGCTGATGGCTTGGGAAAGCAGTAGGAGATGGCCCAAGTGCCTGGGCCCCTGCAGCTTCCCAGGGGACCCAGAAGAAGATCCTGGCTCCTGGCTTCAGATCAGCCTAGCTCTGGCCGTTGTGGCCAGCTGGGGAGTGAACCAGCAGATGGAAGACCTCTCTCTCCATCTCTCCCTCTCTCTGTCTGTAACTCTCAAATAAATAAATTATTTTAAACATTTTTAAAAATAAATGTTTGAGGAGATGGAAATGCAAATTCCTCTAATTTAATTATTACACTTTGTACATATATATCATCACACTATAACCTGTTGATATGCACTAATATTATGTGTCTATAAAAACTTTTAAAAACAGGGGTGGGCGTCTGGTGCAGCAGTTAAGACACTTCTTTTTTTTTTTATTTTTTTTATTTTTTTGACAGGCAGAGTGGACAGTGAGAGAGAGAGACAGAGAGAAAGGTCTTCCTTTTGCCGTTGGGTCACCCTCCAATGGCCGCCGCGGCCGGCGCACCGCGCTGATCCGATGGCAGGAGCCAGGAGCCAGGTGCTTTTCCTGGTCTCCCATGGGGTGCAGGGCCCAAACACCTGGGCCATCCTCCACTGCACTCCCTGGCCACAGCAGAGGGCTGGCCTGGAAGAGGGGCAACCGGGACAGAATCCGGTGCCCTGACCGGGACTAGAACCCGGTGTGCCGGCGCCGCTAGGCGGAGGATTAGCCTAGTGAGCCGCGGCGCCGGCCCAAGACACTTCTTGGGATGCTAGCATCCCCTATCACGGGGCCTGGATTCAAGTCCCAGCTCCAGTCCTGGTTCCAGCTTCCTGCTAAGCTGCACCCTAGGAGGTAGCACTTGGATGGTTTAAGTAGCTGGGTCCCTGCCACCCACGTGGGAGACCTGGATTCAGTTCCCAGTTCATGGTTTCAGTGCGGCTCAGTCCCAGTTGTTGTAGCATTTGGGAAGTAAACCAGTAGATGAGAGCTCTCTCTGGTGTGTGTGTGTGTGTGTGTGTGTCTAAATGACTGCCTCCCAAATGAATAAACAAAAAAAAATTTTTAGTTTTAATAAACATAAAAAGATTCACCTTGGTCACCTATAAATATTCTACATTTGCACCTTCCAGATCTAACCACATGACCTAAGGGCTTCATCTGGTCGACCTCAGCTACCTGGCCAGTCCCTCTGCTGATCAAGAAAGGTGAGCAGGCTGTGTGCAGAGCAGGGGAGGCGGGTAGGACACACCCTCCAAGAACATGGTTTCTTTCTCCCAGACTCTCTGGACCAGAGCTGCCCACACTTTCCTCTTTCTTTGAGTTGGAAGGAGAGGGCAGCGTCCTTTGCGTGCCGGGCTCCTGCTGGGGCACCCAGTCTACTCCAGGTTTCTTCAGGTCACCCAGTCTAGAGGAGGCTCTGGCCCCCTTGGCTCTCTCTTCCTGCAGGACTCATTGCAGAATGGCGACTTCCTTATACAAGAAGCAGCAAAGTCGTGACAGCGACCGAAGGCAGGGGACTTGTAAGGCCACCACAAAACACACGAAACACCGGAGTAAGGGAAAGGGAAAGGGTTTATTGGGGGAAACTCGACAGACCGGAGGGAAGGAGCGAAGAAGGAAAAGAGGGAGAAGGAGAGCATGAGAGAGAGCAAGAGAGAGAGACAGAGAAATTGGAGAAGCTCAAAAGACAGAGAGAGAGACTGAGAGAGCCACGTGTTCAGGAACAGGTCCTCAAACCTTGGGGGGGCGGGGCAGGGAAGTAGGAGCAGCGAATCCCATTAGGGCAGGGGTGGAGCTGACACCGATGGTTGGGCCCTGTGGCCACCCGGCTTCCATAAGCCATGGTGGCCTGCCAGGGCTGGAGCCTAGGATGGTGTCGGGGCGTAGATTGCACCATAGATAAGATTGCACCATTTTACTTAGACACGGCCCAGGAGAAGGGAGGAGGCCACATCACACTTGAGCGGCCCACTGGGCCCAGAGGGGAGGAGACCCTGCGGGGGTGGAGGACAGAAGGACTCATCCATCCCCCACTGCCCACCCCACGGCCCCAGGGAATGTTTCAATTACTAAATGAAGTCAACATGGCCCAGATGTTGGGCAGCTGCCTCTGGAAGCAGTTCCTGCGCTGAGCAGCACGGAGGCCACAGCAGTGCGTGGAGCGGGCCTGTCTCGCTGGCCGCCCTCCTCCCAGCTCCCACCCCTCCCCCAGGCTGCCTGGGAGGCTGCCTTTTTAGGAAACTCAGCTGATCAGGAAGAGAAGCAGACAGGGAGAGTAAGAGGCTCAGTTGCAGCAATCATAAAACCAGAGGGCAAGGACATGCTGGGGACAGACAGGACAACTCAGATCGCTGGACAGCTTCCAGGCCAGGAGCCCAGGTCAGCACCTGTGGGAGCCAGCCCAGTGACTCAGCTCCCTAATCACTGGACTCTCTCCAGCCACATCCACCCCTCCCCCACCCGCTCCTGCCAGCTCCAGATTCCTGTCCCAGCCACAAACACAGCCAGGCCCTGAGACACACTCATTCCCGAGGGCCCCAGACACAACAAACCCTCTGTCCAGACACAGCCAACCCTTTCCTGTCACCCTCCCATCCTCACCAACAAGCCCAGTGCCTTCACTCATTGACACCTCGGAGAATAAAATACAAAACCAAGGGACCCAGTCATCAGAGAGAGAGAGGAAGAGCAAAGATCCTTTGACTAAACAGCCCCCAGCACAAGCGTGGGATTCCTCCTTTGTTTGCCTTTTTAAAGTTCTGGTCTAAGAAGTAAGGTCATCCCCGGCTTCTGTACCTACCTACAGCCCCTTCCTGCCTCGCCTTTGGAGACCCGAGGCCAGCTTCCCTGGCATGATCCACCCAACCGAAAGCAAGCAGGGCCTGGCAAAAGTGCAATGGTCACGGTAAGGCCAGAAGCCCAGAGGCCCAGGCGGGGCTTCGCGGTAGACTCAGGGTGGCCTTCCCAGCAACACCCCCACCGCCCCCACCGCCCTGCATGAATGGGAAGGCACCGTCCAGCTTGCTCAGAGGGGACGAGCGGCCTGTGATTCAGGAGGGAGCAGGGGAAATGACTGGGCCAGGTGTCTGCTCCTTACCTCATCTGAGCACCAGGCACACATGGGACTCACAGCCAGACACAGCTGGCAGGAACTCACACCTCGTGTGGTACAGATGTTGGGCCCTGCAACACAGAGACACAGGCATTAGCCCCTGATTCAACGAAGCAACCAGGCTGCCCTGTCCTTCCTGGCTTTGCCAAATGCCCATGTTCACAGCTCTCGGGTACACACAAATAGCCTAACCACGCCACAGACATTTACCCAACACCGTCCACTGGGAAGGAAGGAGAATGAGGGATATCGGGTGAAACTCATCCCCACCTTCAATGATGAGACCACAGTGATGACAACTGCTGGACTGAGGCTGAGACCCAGGCCCAGTGATGTCCAGCGTCACATCACAGCTGAGCAGAAGGCTTCCCAGACAACTGGCTTCACACCCACATTGTGCGAATGGAAATCTGAGGCCCGGGGAAACAGCAACGTGTCCTCTCTCCAACTATTCTCAGCCATTCACAGCCACTACACAGGGGCTCCCAGGCCCTGGTACACTAACAGAACACACAGCCTGAATATGGGGGGAAGGCAGTGTCCGTTGGCCTGCTGGGGAAAGCAAACCTTCTGAAACCTTTCCAAGCTTCCCAACACATTGCTCTTGGAATCCAAGTGTAACATGCTCTGGGGAGTACTACAGAAATGTTTGAAAGAGATGACTGATACAAGCTAGAACGTGGAATCTTGGCATTGGGAGAAAGGCGTGTGGGTGAATTCTGAACACTCTTCTTAGCAGCCACACCATTCACAAGTGAGCAGTCCTCACACTGCCAAAAGGCAGAGACCAGGGGAGGGGAGCAGGGGCAGCCAGGGGACCGAAACAGCCCCGAGAGCCCAGGCAGGCAGCAAACGCCAGGCCTGTGCCTGGACAGATGCTAACATTCTCCTGCTTCCCAGCTCAGTCTCCTGGCCTCAGCCAAGCAAACCCCTGTGCCTGCAGCAATCACAGGGAGGGCTTTGCCGAGAGGAGGAGGAGCCTGAGGGTGGTCCTTTCCTCCCCGTAACACAGTCACCCGAACAGTTCCTTTATCCAGATTCTAAAGGGACTCCTTGCCCCCAGCCGGCAAGACCAGCAAATCTACTTTTGGAGTAACCATCCTGACCAGAGGGTATTCTCCCAGTGTCCCCAAATCTCACCGAGGTAAGCATCTCTCCATCTGTTTCAGTGGGATTGAACTCTCCCTCCCAACACCTGGGCAAAAGCACACTCAGAAAATGACCTACTAGGCCTAGGAGTATCTGGTTTCTGGGGCTATGGACCTTTAACTTTTATTGATTGGGATACTTTGCTTATATTTAACTTGTAGAAAACCAGTAACAATGTAAATGGCTCTTGATGAGAATAAGATTCTTCTCCAATCATAATGCAAATGGCTTTCTACCTAGTAGAAAAGGAAACTTCCAGAGGGTAGAATTTATTGTCTTGTAGACCATTAACCAATTTTGTATCTAATAATTAATTTCAGGACTTCTTTGACAAATCAAGCATAACTCTTTGAACTGGTCGCAGCATCCTATTGGTTCTCATTAATTAAGCTCAATAAAATTTTGTGGCACATGTCCATTTTATTTTAGTATGGGAATCACTTAGCTGAAAGTTACATTTGAACAACATCCATTCTAGGGCCTCTCCAGGGGAGAGAGGGATGTAGCAGAGAGGGTGTACGCGCAATCAAGAGACTTGGGTGAGTCTCTCAATTCCTCTCAGCCCCCGTTTCTCTGAGTCTCATATTCTTACCATAGTTATTATTTATGTATCTGCCTTAACGACACTGCCATCCAGTAGATTTTAAGCCTCTGAGGCCTTATCTGCCCACCCCGGCCAGCCCCAGTCCTTACCCAAAGGAGATGCTTAGCAACAATGTACTGAAGTGAACTGAAAAGTATTGGACTAGGTTAGTTTTGTTTTGTTTTTAAGCAACTGAACTCATCTCTCAAAATCGCTCATAGAATTCCAAATTAAATATGGAAATGGGTCGCAACAGTTCCTCAGACGATGTAAACTTTGTCTCCCTCTAAATACCAGATTATACGTGAAATTCTTGAAGGACCTCCTGGGAGCCCCATGTTTCTACAGAGCCTTGAGTCTGTCTGTCTTCAAAGGCCTCTCCCAGTTCTCAAATGCTGCAAAGGGAATGACACTAAAAGGTCAGGGTATCCTCTGGGGCTCCATGCTCTGATGTGGCTACAACTTGAGCATGCATGTGCAAGGACTGTGGGCTGGGGACCATGACATCAGATCCAGGTCTGGCCCCAAAGCATCAAGGGCGCCTCTGATGTGGGGCTGCCCTCAGCCATGCAGTATCTGTAATGGAGGGAAGGCGGCTGGTGCTGCCAGATCCAGGAAGTTGAATGTTCTACTATGCAAGTCGGATGCTTCTCCGGGTGAGGGCTGCCTGCCTGGTATTTCAGCCTCACAGCTGCTGTCTCCCCAGACAGAGTGGACAGAGCCCCTGCCCTTTATTGCCCTATCAGAACCCTCTAAAAGGAACTCAGCCTGAACTATTTAGGTATGTCCCTCTCTTCTTAAAGATTCTGTGGGTTGCCGGCGCCGCGGCTCACTAGGCTAATCCTCTGCCTTGCGGCGCCGGCACACCGGGTTCTAGTCCCGGTTGGGGCGCCGGATTCTGTCCCGGTTGCCCCTCTTCCAGGCCAGCTCTCTGCTGTGGCCAGGGAGTGCAGAGGAGGATGGCCCAAGTGCTTGGGCCCTGCACCCCATGGGAGACCAGGAGAAGTACCTGGCTCCTGCCATCGGATCAGCGTGGTATGCCGGCCGCAGCGAGCCGGCCACGGTGGCCATTGGAGGGTGAACCAATGGCAAAGGAAGACCTTTCTTTCTGTCTCTCTCTCTCACTGTCTACTCTGCCTGTCAAAAAAAAAAATTAAAAATAAGTAAAATAAATAAATAAAAGATTCTGTGGGTGTTGCCATCGGAGGGTTAATTCTGGACACAAAGGCCATGGATTTTCACTGGGGGCAAGAGAAACACAAGGAGATTGCAGGGAGAGCTAAAGGACAGAAGAGGATTGTGGGAGGTGTGGGCACTGTCAAATTAATTTTGAAAACTTTTCCCAGACTATCCATTCAGTCATCCATTCATCCTCAAATTAGCATTTCCCGATGAGTCCCTGACTTGTGGCCACAATAGAAAGCCTTGCCAGACACAAAACAAATAACAGCAGGCCCCTCCCAGTGAACCGTTGGCCCAATCCCAAAGCATGAGCTGAGCTGCTGGGATTCGTTCTTGAGGAAGCCATGTCTGGGAAGTCATGGTTACCAAGTCCCCCTAATCCCCTCTTTTTAATGAATCACAGGTGGTTGATTTCGTGATACCCCATGATATCCCCAACCAAGTTCTGCCACCAGGCAGGTTCCCTGGAACGCAGTGGTTGGAAGTGGCTGCGTCATCAGAAGTGTCTAAGCTGGGCCCATGCTGATTCAAGGAGCTGCTTCTCCTAGGCTGCCCCTCCCTCCCGGACAGATGGGAGGAGCCGGGGCCTGCGTCTCGGTCAGCGACAAAGCCTCTGCTCCCGCTCAGCCTCTGGCGAAGATGCCCACTTCCCCTGAATCCTGCAGAAGTGGGAGCCTCAGAACCTCACTGCAAACTGAACGACTCCTACCAGCCTTTTCCTCCCAGAGGTCGGCCCGAGCAGGGAAACAAGGTGGACTGGCCCTGTCCACAGTAAGGACTGAATGAGCCAGCCCCTACAAAACCCGTGAGCACAGAGAGGACTCGACAAACGCTGCTGCTGCTGCTCCTGCTGCTATTGTTTTTGCTGTTGCTGTTTTTCTCCTAAGTCTCACGCTGTTGAGAGCAGGTGAACCCTTTGCTGTCTTTGAAGATGCCATGCTAGGTGGAAACAGACTAAAGTAAAATGATCAATCATCACATGTGGAGTAATTAGGAATATTAATGTTTCAAAAAATCGAATCTAGAAGGGGCAGCCAAGAAGAGAAGGCCACTTAGAAAAGACAGACATGGCCAGCCAAGAAGCCTGCCTGGAAAGTAGAAGTAGAAAGCTGTGGTTTGGCACATTCTGACTCACAGAACCAAAAGAGAACAGGGAAAAATGGAGAAAAAAAGGAAACAAGGAAGGGAGTTGGAACGAGTGGAAGTCATAAGGCGTCAATGAAGGTTATTTTGAGGACACGTTGTCCAGTGAGACAGGATGTCATACTGCACACACGGGCCACCCTGACGAGGCCTCGGGACTTCAAAGAGGGAGAAGTGTTGAGCGGGTGGGAAGGCCAATCTATACTGCAAACACCATGGACGTCTCACGTGCTATCTGCAGTTTCAGCCTGCGTCCTCCACCCGGCCATGGACTTGAACTGGTCAAACCCCAGTTAGGTGCATGGGGCCACTGGGTGACTCAACCTGCACCTAATCCTTCCATTGCAGCCACCCGGATCAGTGAGTCATCGAAGAACAAAACATCTCACACTAACTGTCCTGGGTGCATAAGTAGTTTCTCTACTCCAAGTTACTAAGAAAGTTTATTTTATTTTTGCTCCTTCCTTAAAGATAGCACAAGCTCAGTAACACAAGGGAAGGGAAAAAGAGATAGGAAGATAGAGTTCAAGGTAACAAACATCCCTGCATTCTAAGCAAAAAGCTCCAGTAAGCATTGCCCAAAGCAGTGGGGAATCCAAATTACCGTATTTCACCAAATCTAGGGCTATGGATGAAGGCTATCTCCTGAGTTCAGAGATTTTAAACTGCTATTTTTTTTTTTTTTTTTTTGACAGGCAGAGTGGACAGTGAGAGAGAGAGACAGAGAGAAAGGTCTTCCTTTGCCGTTGGTTCACCCTCCAATGACCGCCGCGGCCGGCGCGCTGCGGCCGGCGCACCGCGCTGATCCAATGGCAGGAGCCAGGAGCCAGGTGCTTTTCCTGGTCTCCCATGGGGTGCAGGGCCCAAGCACCTGGGCCATCCTCCACTGCACTCCCTGGCCACAGCAGAGGGCTGGCCTGGAAGAGGGGCAACCGGGACAGAATCCGGTGCCCCGACCAGGACTAGAACCCGGTGTGCCGGCGCCGCTAGGCGGAGGATTAGCCTAGTGAGCCG